GGACTGAAGTGGGCCACACGGAGGCCTGTGCGATGTCCCTACAATGTCCTTTGAAGTGAGGAGCTGATACAAAGTCGAAACATGAGCTGTTCAATCAGCAAGGACAAGTTCTGCTCATCAGGGCCTCAGGGAATTGGAAATTGTGTGGACAGGGAAATGGTGTCCCACTGAGGTTCAAAATCTGTTCTGCCTTCCTTGGAGATAAGCACACATATAGGCTACTAAACATGCTGTCAGGCTTGGGTCTGCTTAGGTATGTCCGGATGTGGCTCACCATTTAGTATCTATCTAGCTCCTACTGAGATGATTCTCATCAGCCCAGCTCCTTGTAACAGAGCATGACATGTATGTAACTAGATGTGGGACATTTAGAAGTGCAGTTCTGTAAATAGCATCAGTCCATTTTGCTGCATGCTTCTATTTTTAGAGCAGAGATGCTGCATTGGGAACCATGGCTTTAATGTCCTCTTGCAACAGTGAGTCTGTTAACTCTTTGCTTAGATGTGCTGCACTGCAGAATGGCATTGATTTCTCAGCATGGGTCTATTTGTCCAAGTCCCAATGCTCATAAATCTCATCCCCACCATACAATTTCGAACAGTGTAAACCGGTCTCAGCTAGGTGTATATTGTAAATGGGCAGTGTTATATGAGTGAGAATGTTTTCAGCTTTGTTCTTCCCTGGAGTTGCCGGTGTGTAGGTATGCATTATACATTTTCTTCTATAGCCCACTGAACACCCACTTGTAATGTCTCTTCTTCAAACAGCAAGCACTACAGCGGATAAAGCTCACAATGCTGGTTAAATGTAATGGAATTTTATCTGACAGATTGCTGGAAAGTCTCATGTTGTGTTATTTTCTTCCCTTGTTTTCAAAGAGTCCACAGAGGCTGGATGCTTCATACTGTACTAAATATTATTAGAATATATTATACATATATTCGTGTATAGTTTTCCTAATTCTTTTTCCAGCTGAGTCTATTAATGCATTATATTAACGCGCACAACAGCCAACCACATCACAGGAGCACATTTGTACCTGCTAATGGCTGTTCACATGTGAAGCTATTCCCGGTAAGGTTCCCTAGGGATTTGTGTTTCCTCAGAGTGGCTTTACCAACGACGCTCTTTTAATAGTATAATTCTCATAAAGAATTCACAAAAGCTGCTAATAATCAAAGGTATCAGTCTTGCGTTTGTGTTATCGTATAAACAGGGAGGACGAGATGTTCATCAGTACGCAGGCCAGAGTGCAGTTGGCCTCAGAGAAAATTCAAAGACATTGAGGAGTTGTTGGATACATTTTCAATTTAAAGACTCACGTTATCCTGTCATAGAGATTGTAAATTGTAAAACAACTAACTAGACTAAACAACAACAAAAAAATCAACGCAGTGCTCATCATAGCACATCATACTAGGAACACTTATGCTTGAAAATTTACTTTATTATCAAATTGCTGCCGATAGTTGACCCATTGATTTATTGACTGATCATTTCAGATCTGATTTAGCATTTCTGTCATATTTAACATCCAAGATGTCTTAACTGGGGAGCGGTAGTAACTTTCATTATAGGTCAGCTCTCTCATCCTCCCTGATACCTTGGAAACAAAATACCAGAGTGGAATTTTTAAATTCTAGATATGAAGTCAGTTGTTTTACATTAAAACTCGATGGCATCAAAGGAATATTTAGATTAAAATAATATTTATTTTACCTTTTTGAAACAATCACTTTTATTGAATACGACTCAAGTAAAATTTCTGTACATTGACTTCAAAACATTTTAATTATCCAAATGTTAAAACCTTTTTCAATATCTGATTATACTCTAATAACACAGACCAGCATGAACATATATGAAATAAATAGCGTACCTTCAATTTCAAGTTATCTCCCTTCTGTTCTGATATATATTAATATTAATTTAGCATCTAATTAGCTGCTCAGTGTGTTGGAACAGTTTTGGTACATTAACTAGGACAGTGGCCAGAATTACTTTTTATATTAATTTGAAGACACAGAGAAAATATCTGCAAGGAAACACACATGACCATTTGAGGCCATCTGTTGTCAGGTTGAGCTGTTAGATTTGTGCTTTGAATACTGAACCAGAAATTTGCATCAATTGAAACTGCAGTCAGTCTCCAGTAATAATGAGAAGTGGCGTAATAAGGGTATTTATATTTTCTCAGTTTACGACCGGGAGGCTGACAGCATGTGGCTGAAAGGCAGATTTTGATTTGTCCTCGCTGAAAGAAAAGTGTTTGAAAAGAGAGAAGTACTACACAACCTTATAAATGATGATGATTCTCCAGATAGAGCTTTCTATCATGCTAAATTCATGCTACTCTAAAAGGCATTATAAAAATAACACCACACCTTTAAAGTTACATTTGAGCTGAAATAATTAGCTGACTAATTGATTAGTAGATTAGCAGAAAATGAATAGCCAACTATTTTGATAATCGATTAATTGTTAGTAATCTAGCTCAAACTCTAACTATTCTCTGGGGTTCAGCTTCTCCAATGTCAATATTTACTGCTTTTATCGGGTTTTATATCATCAGAAACTGGTTTTGGATTGACAAAACAAGACATTTGAAGATGTCACCATGGGCTCTTGGAAACTGTGATGAGCATTTTTCATTACTCCACATTTTTTTGACCAGACGATTAATAGATTATATGCAAAAAGGCAAAGACAAATTGAATTATGTAGCACAATTCAAACACAAAGACATACAAATAAAAGCCATAAACAACCTTAGAATGCAGCAGAAAATAACAGGTTTTTAAGCCTTCTTGTAAAGGCAATAATAAAGTAATCTTTAGTTACTAAAATGAAATATCTTTTAGACTGGGACAAAACAAGCACTTTTTAAAGTGTCTTGCTGGGCTGGGATGAAATGGCGATCAAAATGATCAGTTGATTGCAGCCAAACACATTGAAATGTTAAGAATATGCAGATAATTTTATTATTATTAATCCGGGTGATCTCAAATGATCGTGAAACAAAACTGAAAAAGGGCAATGCAGACTTTATAGTTCTCAGATCACCCACTCTCATAACCACATGCCAAAACTGAACTAGCATCAGCTTGACATGAGTGACGCCATTCACGAATGTACAGTACAGTGGCGTGCAGGGACAGCGCTACTGGCTCAGCACTTTTGATGCATCTAGACTATCCGAGGTGGCAGAATCTGTCTCTCGGCAGTTCTATGTTAAGAGCTGAGGGTGTCTGTTTTTATTTTTCAGTCCCAGTCATGTTATATACTGGTACTTCTGTACACTCAATTTGGTTTGGTCCACCAAGCTAAATCAGCCTAATACAACAGTCCTGCAATAAAGCCTACCTTCATGAAGGTTATAATGTTCATTTTTAGTTCAAACTGTTTTAGATGGGTGCAGATTCAACGGTATGATAATTTCAGAGGCAGCGGTTTGTGGCACTGTTGAATTGTTGGCTTGTTACAGGTGTTTCTATTATTTTGTCCACCAACTCAGAAAGCTGTCAGCATAGCTGTCACAAACCATGTCACAAGATTTTCTCTGCACTGGATCATGGAATGTTTATTTATGTTTATTTGGTGCATATGACAAATAAAATCACTTTGACTTTGGGTATAATGCAATGCAGACTGCAAAATGATTAAACAGTTGAATCAGCACCTCTCTAAAACAATATTATAACCTTCATGAAGGTAGGAGTTTTCGCAGGATCAGTTTTAGCCAAGTGCACCTGATAACCTGGTTACAGTAATGTGCTGGTACAGCAGGGTTATGATGTCTGCTTGACAAAAGAAACACGTGATTGTCGGTCTTGTGGTGATCTGCCTGGTCTGGTTTGCTGTCTCTCCCTCTTCCTACTTTGTTGCCGTGAAATGCTTCTATGGAAACGGAGGGGGTCTATCACCACGCGCCCACATGCTCCCCAGAGACCCAGAGCTGCAGCTTCTATAAATCTCCTCTCAATCTAATGTGCTCTCCACAGTACCTATAGACTATGTTTTATTACTACAGCCCCCTGTCCTCGTACTCCACATCTGTATGCAGCCATGATCAATTGTTTCACATTTATTGCATTCACTTCAGAGAGGGAGACATTTAATCCTGTCAAAAATTAACAGAACAGTTTGCCTGGTGTTCTGAAGCTGCAATGATGTTTTCATTATACAGACAAGATGTAGTGAAAATGACAAGGTCACTTGGAGGACTTTTGGATGTGAGGGATGTGTAAGCCAGACACAAATTTATATGATATCATTAATTGGACAGAACCAAGTGAGAGCAGCCCTGCAAGGACGTCCCAGTTGAATTGAATTAAAGCTTCCTAGGAATAGTCGCAGTAACGGCTTAGGCACATCTGAGAGTCATCTCTCTCTCTCTCTCTCTCTCTCTCTCTCTCTCTCTCTCTCTCTCTCTCTCTCTCTCTCTCTCTCTCTCTCTCTCTCTCTCTCTCTCTCTCTCTCTCTCTCTCTGACAATTATATGTCCAACAGCAGAAAATTAATAGGCAACTATTTTGGTGATTGAATTATCATAATTTCTTTTGTGTGAAGCAAAAAATGCCCCATATACTCTGTTTCTGCCTTTCATTTACCTGCTTTTATATCTTCTATGATAGTAAATTGAATATCTTTGGTTTTGGACTGTTAGTAAGCCAAAATAAAGCAATGTATGAGTAGGTCAACTTGGGCTCTGGAAAAGTTTTCTCTATTTTCAAACATTTTATAGACCAAACAGTTAAAGAAATTAAGAGAAAATTGGCAACCGATTAATTGATATTGAAGCTGCGGCTGTATATTTACATTGTCTACATTTCTACTTTATTTTATTTTTTACTTAAATTAACCTTTGTTTCATTTTATGATAATTTGTCTGTCAGTGTCTTTTTGATTATTTATATTATCTTTTTTTTTCTTTCCTTTTCTGGTTCCCATTTAATTTGCCCTGTTTTTTTTTCTTACCTTTCCATCCTTCACCTGCTTTCCTTTTCAATCTCTGGACATGCTGCCCCCTAAATCTCCACCACCAGCTGGCTTTGTGAAATCGCCTCTTTCTGAAACTAAGCTCACGGGCGACACCTTTGAGCTGTACTGTGACGTGGTGGGAAACCCCACCCCAGAAATCCAGTGGTGGTACTCTGAGATCAACCGAGCTGATTCCTTCAGGCAGCTGTGGGACGGCGCCCGTAAGCGGCGAGTGTCCATCAACACGGCCTACGGTGCCAACGGCGTGAGCGTGTTGGGTGTCTCTCGTCTTACGCTGGATGATGCTGGGACGTACGAGTGCAGAGCCAGTAATGACCCGAGACGCAACGACCTGCACCAAAATCCAGCCACCACTTGGATCCGTGCTCAGGCCACTATAACAGTGCTGCAGAGTGAGTTGTCAGTGTAGAGCAAAGATCCCACCCCACCCCTCCGTTAGCAACCAAATCTAACAGTTCCTGTGTGATTCAGCCTCCCTCAAACCTCTCCAGAGGACAGCTAGCTTCCTCCGTAGGTGCCATCCTCCCCTGCAGACCTGGAAAAGGAAGAAAAACACCATCAACTGATTGCATTGTACTCATCCCTCGGTTCAGTCAGTGCATCCTTCAACCTACACCCCGTAGAGCCCAATCTCCTCCCAGTCTCCTTTTCCTCTCTGCCTCATTTTTCTTTCCCTTTAGTTGTCATCTTCTCATTTCCCTGAACTAAATGACATGTATATTCAATTAAATTTTTTCTTTGGTTTACTGTCGTTACCTGTTTTCAAATGTAAAATTTTGAATACTTGACTATACTTAAACACACAAAGTTGTGCAATATAATATGTATGTAGAATCTGAAATGCAGAGAACCTATAAGTGGAAACTGAAATGTTTCTGTAGCACAGAGTATCAAAAAGCACTGAAAAATGCCATCAAATGTCTGGTCATATTGTAATCTTGTTTACTTACTCTTTGATCAGATAGCACCAGATTTATAATCAAAACATTCAAATGATTTTATGTCTGCAAAGTAGTTTAGATTAAGACAACATTTGTGAGGTTTGACGTTTTGTTAATTGAAATATTGGCTACAAAATAAGTTTATATTCCTCATAGTAAGGTATAGAAAAAAAACTACCCAGTTTGAGAGGTTCACCTGTGTTTACATGTACAAACAAGATGTATATAATCCAGATATATGTTGTTGTTGAGTTTCTGTTTATTTTTTATGGTATTAATAGTAATAAGTATTTAATCTCATTCAAATCTAAGCTAAGAGAATTGTTGAATGGAACTTGACCTAGAGTCACCCTCATTGGCTCCCAACATGAGTCGTCTTTTATAAAAGGTGAATCCGTTGTGGTAGAAGATTAAGGCATATTTTTAGCCCTGCTTGAGTTTATTTTAGCATTACAAATCAGTGTTTGGAAGAATATGACAGAAAGGTTAGACCTGTATTCCTGTAGTGTAACAGAAATATGCTCTACACTTGTGTACTCTACAGAAACTGGCCCCACAGGTACTTTTCCAGAAGTACTGTGAATTTCCGTTTTTAATATTTGTATTAAATGAAATCCTCAATGTTCCTCTACGTAGGAACACATGGTCCATGTGACAATGTAATGATACTATAGGTTTACGTCAGGGCCAACAGTTTAATAAATTCAGTGTTTTTTCTGAGAAGTCATGATTATTTGTGCAATAGCAGATTGCTCAGGGCTGTAGCAATGCTTTATCATTGCAGTTGAGGCCACAACACAGCACCATAGTTTCTAAAGTTTTTTTTTAGTAATTTATCTGCAATTGAGCCATTATATTCGTTAAAGCAGCGGGCTGTACCATACAATTTGTAAAAAGCTCAATCTTCCATTCATCTAATGCAGTTGGTCATCTTTTGGGCTGACAATTCAACCAAGAGAGTTTCATGCTCTGCTGAGCCTTGGAAGTGCTCCCACTTCCACCTTCAGCTACTGTAACAGTGCAGAGAATGACTTCTTCTTAAGGAACTCTGGATGTCCAAAATAATTCCTACCACTCTATTCCTGTGCTATATTGTATAAAGTCTGGATGGCGGAGGTGTCTGTCTGAACCCTCTGTGCATTGTTGTTTACATCTTTCAGCACACCCTCCCCCACGAGTCCTAGCAAGCATCACTTCTGTTGTAGCTGATCTATGTTTCTCTTGCAGAGCCATCAATCATCGCCTCTGACCACATCACACTTCCTGTGGAAGGTGACACTTTCACATTGCAGTGCAACCTGACCAATGCCCACAGTGTCCACATGGAGAGCTACTGGATGAAGAATGGGGAGGAGATCCCGGGAACACACACCCAAAATAAGAACACTGAGTACAGGTAGGAGTCTGGGCAAAACCTTATGCAACTGGTGTGTGTGTGTGTGTGTGTCACAGTGCTAAATACATAGTTTAGCAGCCTGATGTGGGTTCACGTGAGGTGTGTATCTGCTCTGCAGGCGGAACAAACCAAGAGGAGACGATGCCGGAGTGTACATGTGTGTCTACACCTTCGATATGACTCCTTCAGCCAACGCCACTATCGAAGTTAAATGTAGGTGTTGATTTGTGACCTGCAGGCATCTTTGTCAGTTTCAAGGCCACATTGGAGATGTCACCAAAAAATGGCCTTGAGCAATTGCAGCCCTGTCATGTGAGGACCTGTGATTTCAAACGGCTCTGATGGCTGCTCAGGGGCAGCCGGTGCCCTTGACACTCCATCTAACCAATGCCTGGCTCAGTGGCAACAGATGGTGTCTTGTTTGTCTGATGGCAAGGGATTATGTCTCAACGGTAAAATCTGGTCAGCCTTTTCTGCGGTCACACGCATCGCTATGGAGGAAAATTGGATTTTGAAAAGGTTTTATGTTATGGGGCATTTCTATTCATCCAGCAGAAAAAGATGTAGAGCCAGGCAGATTTATAATATACAGAATACA